ATACCTATAAAAACAATACAGTGTGAATTATTTACCCTGTAATCAATCACACTTGTTCCTCAATCTGAATAATATGAAACAATTATTGATTTAATTGTAGATATAGCATAATAATATTTTAATTAATTATAAATTAGATAAAATGTTTTAAAACTATTCATACTCTTTTTTTTTATTATCGTGTTTAGCACCTCTTATTTTAAATGCACTTTGAAAATTATTGGAAGTTAAATATTTCCTTTAAACTATATTTTTATATCTTCTAAATTGTATAACTATAAAATTAAAAACATGCCACAATTAAATCACATTTTTTAAATGTGGAATTATGATATTTGTATTTTAAAAAAAAGTGATAAAAGCTCTCGTTATATAACTTTATTAATTATTTATCAACCTGAAAGATCTGTTATTGATAATTTAGATTTTCTACAGAAATATAAAATGGCTTTTCTTATATATCATGATATGAAATTATCAAATTCTCAATTTTTGATTTTTTTCCCCTTTGTAAAATTTAACAAATTGTAATTAGATTTTTCTATATTAAAAATGAAACCATATATAAATTGTACTATTATAAAGTTTTATTTGGGCAATAAAGAACAGATTTTCAAAAATCCAGACCAAAAAAAAATATAAACTTTCTAAAGTTGAAAATTGGTTTTGCTGTAAATATACATATCTTACAATCTATATTTATATATATTTATAATTAAATTAAAAAAAATGGATTATAAATACACTCGTTATGGAAGCTCCTCAATACACAATATAATTCAAAGTGCTTTTCTAGCAGCAAAAAAACTTTTTAGATTTTCATTCCATACTTTGAATTGAATTATAAACAATTTGTTGTACTTTTTTCCATGCAGTAAGATATTTATTTTGTAGTCCTGCAACAGAACTGACTTCTATACTCCCTTTGTACATATTAAACAAATGAAATTGATTCCTGTTAAATCCTTATAAATATTAATCAAACTCATATTTAACAAACTTCTCAAATATACACTCTAATACAGTGTTTCTCAACGGGGGCGATATTGCCCCATGTGGGCGTTTTTTCATGTTGAGGGGGTGATTTGTAACAATTTATATTTTGGGGGAACAAAAAACAATTTTCTGGGCAATACAGTAAAACATTATATTAAGAATAATTAGATATTTTATTCGTTATATCAAACAATAATTAAACAAATAATATTATACTAGTCATTAGTCTATTCAATGCAGCACGAATTTGGTGTTAGCCTTAGTCCTCGGCATCGAATTTTGAAGTGGAGGGGGCGATACTACGTAATGGTTTTATTGAAGGGGCAACGATTCATTAGAGATTGAGAAACACTGCTCTAATACAAATTCCTTTTTTTGGAGGTTTAAAAATTATTCAAAAGAACAAAGATTTTTTGGGATTCATTAAATCACACCAAAATTTTGTCCTCTGACTAACTATGTGCTAGCCTAATGGTAAGTTTTTATGTCTAGCTAATGATATGGTAACCGTTTCCTTTAAATCTTTTCCAATTACTACTATTAGGTTTGATAATGAGAAGAATCAGTTCTAAGTGTGATCATTGTGGAATTCTTTGGCAACAGAGAAGTAACTTGATGATAAAAGAATTAATAGTTGATAAGAAAGTCAATAAATTGTATAGAATGCAATGCAATACAAATGGAATAAGTTCTATGGTGGGACTTATTACTTTATAGTAAAAGTTCAATATTATACAATTGTGTAAGAAATGAGTCCAAATCATAATATTAATAAAATAAGCCAGATTTATTATCAGTTTACATTTTAGCTAATTGCTAATGTAATGCAAATGCTATACGGTAAAGATTTTCATCCTAAAGTTTATTTCTTCATATGTACAGTAACAATGTGGTTATATTTAAAGGACAATCATACCACAGGTCATATTTTTTATTCTATATCTCTTTTTGGAGAAAAAAGATATATAGAGTAAAAGGTATGACCTGTGGTGTGATTCTCCTTTAAATATAATGACATTATTACTGTATATATGAAAATATAAATGCATACATATGAAAATATAGTTTGAACTAAATGTAGGAAATTAAGTTGTCATCTTGTATTAAATTTACTAATTAGAATTTAATTAATTTCAAACATTCTGGAAGAAAAGATCAATCCAGAGTGGGACTCCAGCAAGCAACTCCTACTTACTGTGGAATTGCATTGCCAATTATACTACCTGGACCTCTGTCTGATCTCTTCCAGACTAATTAATTTAGAAGATATAACCAGAGCCATAGCAATATTTTTGGTACCCTTGAGAAATAACTAAACTGGTGCCCCTTTTTAAACTTATTTTAAGTATCAGAAATAAGAGTTTATTATAGAAAAACAAAACGTAACTTCAAAATAAAATGTTCAATATATACAGGGAAGGCCTGAATTATGTACTTATAACTCTGATGTTCTGATATATATATATATAGAAACAAAATTTTTTAATTAAATATCATAAAAATATATACTGACCATTATATACATAACCTATGTACAGTATCTGTAACATACACAACTAATTGATATATAAATGCTCTGTTTATCTGCTGCCAATTTCTAACATTATTAAATTAAAACATTGTGGCTCAATCTAAATGTGAAAATTGGAAATGTAGATAAATTATTCAGAATGTATTGCTCTATTTAAAAATTTATTTATAATAAAATAGAATAATTTAAAAAGAAAATATGATCAAATTTTAATTTTTCTTACTTTTACATTAGAAATATCGGAAATAATATTAAAATTGATATTACCTGCTAGCTGATATTCTATAGACAGAATATTTAAATATGAGAAGACTCATTTCAAAAAATGGTAAACATATGCTCATAACAGATAAAGGCATAGTTGTGGAACGTTCAAGTTCATGTCCATATCTTTAACAAACTGAAAATGTTATTAAGAAAATGGGGATTCCCAGTGCCAACTCTTTGGTTCATCCATCAGGCTGATGCACAGTGCCATTTTAACTATTGGTTTAAAAGGGGAATCACCATGCACTGATGGGTGTATTGGGGTGGCATAAATTACGACAAAGGGTGCCTGATATTTTCAGTTTTTTAGTTCACATCACATAAATGGCAGTGATAGGTGCCAAGCACCCTTCACCCTTGTGTCTTTGGCACTTGCCCAGTTGCCAATGCAGTGCTATAGCTCTAGATATAATCATACTAATCACTGGTTTAAATTAATTAATTAAATTCTAATTATTAAATTTAATGCAAGATGTCCTATCTTTACATAACATAGTCCAAATTACCTAGCATTTGTATTTGATTAGTCAAAATGGTGCCTGATAATAAATCCAAGTTCATTATTTGATTAATTCAGTATTATATTTTCTTGATCACTTCAGCAAATATAATTAAGCAAAACTTTTCACTCAAAATTATTCTATTACTTAAACATTCTAACAATAGTTCTTTTCTCATTTAGTAGTTTTCAAGTATTGTCAAATTTCAATTTTGTTTAACATTGTTTTGGAATTCAGGTTGTTGGAATAGAAGAAATTCTAGTAATAACTTAAATAAAAGAATATAATTTGTATCAATTAAAAAAAAAATCAAGAATAGAATATGAATGATTTTGTTACACTCAAATCAATTAAAATTCTAATCTGATTCAATAATAAATTACATTCTGTAAACAAATTATGATAGTTCGAAACTTCAATAAGCAGATGTTTTCAAATGGTCTGGATTTCTGAAAATTAACTATTATTAAACATATTAAAAAAAAATTTCATGCAAAATGATCCCATAACAAATTAATGTAAACAATTTTCTAAAATATTTAAAAAGCTGCATGAAAATTGCAAAGTTATATTTACATAAATGAAAGATTACAGCTGGCACTATTAACTGGACGGATATTATTAAAAGTAAGGCAAAGAAAAGCATTACGAAATGCCGTCTCAATCAAATTGTATTTCTTTAAAGAACATTCAAAAGAAAGAACTTGTCCAATCATTCTCTACTTCATATCATTAACAATTCCCATCTATAAATATCATATATACTATATTAAATGATATAAAATAGTCGTTTAAACTAATCTTTAATAGTTATAGGAGAAAATACATAAACAGTATTTTTAATCTATATATTGTTTGTTATTTTTAAAATTTTTTATTGATTTTTAAATTTTGAAAATAAAATATTAAAAAATAAATAGAAAAAACAACAACATGTAATTATGTAAATGAGTTCATGCACACAATGATGATACTACAATATACATAAGTTTATTCAATAGAAACTCCTTTTGTTTAACTTGAATCAAAGGAACTCAATAGTTCAGAATAATTTTAAATGACTGACAATATCTTCAATAAATGGCATAGCTAGGGTTTGTGCCACCCAAGGCGGTCTACAAGAGTGCTGCCTCCATAAGAAAAACAATATAATACATATCAAACATACTTAGACAAGAAGTGAAAAAGATAAACAGCCATAAGAAAACCCTGTGAAAAAATTAGGATACTTTTACCATTGTTATTAATTAACTGTTTAGTTGTGCTTATGATAGTCAATAAGGCTATTTTCAAGGGCCTTACCATTACCATTAATATCCAATAATAAGCAGGTGTTTTCTTAGGGTAAAATAAAATTGTATCCAGTGTTCTGTATCTTTCCATTATCCCTAAAAAAAGAACTTTCCTTTTTCAAGACGAGAAATGCTGCACACCCCTAGCTGTGCTACTGCCTTTAATGTATGTTAACAAAGAATTTTCTATTAAATAAATTGAAGTATATTAATTAAACTGTCATCAATTGTCTACTTGAATTCGTTTATTATTTCTATTTTTCAATGATTATGAAAAAAGCTTAATTCTGTATATTCATAATTATCTATCAGATTAATTTAAAAAGTATACTTTTTTAAAAATTAGTACTAATATCATGAGTCTCATTTTATTCATTTTATATAAAAGTATAAAATTGATGTACTGTACTTGGCAATTAATAAATTTTTTAAAAACAAATGAATTTTGTTTAAATTTAGATATTTTCCATATTACTTAAAAATTTTATATAAAATAAAATACTGATAATCAAATTAAGAATTCATTAAGCATAACTGTGTCAAATTTTAAGATTATAAATATACATGTATATTGCCATTATATACAAGCCATTCACGACATACATTACTATATATAATTCTATTTTTCTTTATATTTAGGTATATAAAAATGATGACTGATATGGAAGATATGTATTTACAATGGTGACAACAATTCAGCAGCAATATTCCATTTATATAATGCACACAAATGTTGTTAAATTTTGAGCATAATTTGGAAAATATAAAAATGAGCAAATTATTATACAGTGGTAATACTCCAACCCTTCTTTGACTGTGGAGGATAATTTTCCTCGTTCTTTGCTTCACAACCATTTCCTATGACCTGAAGATCTACTTCGGAAGGAAGATCTGCAATCAGGCCATCTTTTTTAATACTATGTTTTGAAATAATTGTTTCGGATGGAGCATTCCCATTATCTTGATTACTAGAATTTCCTATGACAATTCTCTCTAAAAGAGTCGTATCTTTTCTGTTGGGGGAATAATTTAGTTTTTCTTCACTGATTATTTCCGTTTCATCTTCTTCCCTTATAGCTAAACCTTCAAACTGAAGTAAACTGCTTGGTCGGTATGGATTGTAATGAATTGTCTTTACACTTCCACTAGAAGCAAAGGCACTATGTTCGTCAGCACCACTGCTTTGAGAGGAACAAGAGTCAGACATTTCGGATAGTCTAATTGATGATGAAGGTAAAAGCAACTGACAGGATGGACTAGAATTACCGCTATGAGTTAAAATGATGCTATCCGAACCTCCTCTTTGGTGTTCGTTATAAATATAGAAAGATTCTTGTTCTCCTTCCGAGATTACATCATCTTGTTCTTGAATGTTAATCTGACTATTACGTGGACTACCTTCCAATACCTGTAATTCAAAAGGTGGAGAATTAGGTTTCTCTCTATGCTTCCTCCACATTCTTCTAAATGAAGGTGGTGTGTGTTCATCATCAAAGTCTTGAAATCCACCTTCGGAATCACTATTATTACAACAATTATTATCTTTTCCTTGTTTATTTCTAAAATCATGTATAGTTGCACCTTCTGAAGATATGCCCTTGTTTTTCAAAAGACAATCTGCTTCTTTAATTTCTTTATTTTGTGATGATTTTTGGATTTGAGATCTCATCCATCTTGTTCTATCTGCTCTTCTTTCTAGATTTACACTTTCTTCTAATCTATTAGCACAATACACTTCACCTTCAATGTCTGGTTGTAAGAAACCTAAATAGAATAAATATATAATTTAAAAACAATTGACATATTAAGAATTGAAAGAATTAAAATTCTTTTATATAATATTTTAATATTAGATGACAATAAAGATGATTCCTGTAACGTGCCTAATTTTTAGGATATAAAATTATATAACTTATAATGATAATTATATATAATATAATAATTATTACTCTATATTGTGTTTATAAATGAAACAGAGTTTTTCAATATTATGTTCAAAATATTTTTTAATATTTATTTTATATATAATATAATTTATACAAGAATTATGCATAGTTACAAAACTATGTTACAAATATATGTCATGTCTTTTATAGTGCTGAAGAGGAATGTAATGGAAATCAATTCATAAATGTCACTACCTAATGATATGGAGTATGAATAAAATTTTAGGGGATGGTAGAGGTCAAGATGAGCATTTTTTAAATGAAGCAATATAGGGTCAAGAACAAAAACTGACAGAGCTATAGCCTGTAGAAAATTTGGATGAGCAATCTTCTGATTTTCTCATCCTAGGATATGTAGAGTAAGTGTATAAAACACTAGTGGAAACAAAGGAAGAACTGTCCATCCATGTCATTTCAGCTTTTGATACTATTAGAAGACAACAAGAACTTTTTGAAAAAAGTACAATAAAATGCGATTCATCATCGTAGTCTGTATAATAACTGATGGTCACCACTTCAGACATTTATTGTAATTATGCAGAAAAATATGAACAAATTTTATAATGATTTGTATTTTTGTGTTTTAAGTGGTTGCTATATTGTTTGTTGGGGGGAGGCAATTTTTGCCCACTGCATTACCTATGTATTGATTAATAAAGAAGAAAGAAAGTTTCATTTATTGTACCATATGTATGATACAATAAATGAAACTTTCTGTACTCCCCAACACATACCATCCCAAAACAAATATACAATGGAAGACAGAAAATATACTGTAAATATAGAAGCATGATGGTGGTTTCTGATGTAGCCCAAAGTTGGCTGATTGCATAGACTTATCACACCTTGTAAGTTAATCTCTGACCCCGTTTCATCACTTAATCTACAAGGTGTGATAAGTCTGTGCAATCAACCAACTTTGGGCAACATCAGGAAGCATTAACCTAGATGAGAAACGAGAATATCTGTGAGATCCTGGGCTATAGTTTGTTAAATTAAAAAAATATTAATTTCAATAAATTTGTTAAATAAAAAGCACAAAACTGGGAAAAAACAACAAGGAAGTAACCAGATTCTCTCCATGATAACACTCTAAACAATGTCTCTTCCTGGAGCAGTGATTCACCCAAAGAAATAGAGAATAAAATATGAGATTGGATGACAAAGGAGTGTTGTCCATCCAATAATGACTTTTTTGGTAATACCTTGATTCAGAAAGAGGACAAAAACAGATAAAAGGACCAGGAAAAGTTGAAAAGGTTGTCTAATTTGACAGTCATTCCTCAGTCCAGTTTAGTTAGTCCCTCAACTACAGTGAAGTTTGCCTGGCATCTATTCCAGTCCAGTTCAGCTGCCCAGTTCCAATTCAGGTGATTCAATCAATCCAGCTGATGCTCCAGATTATGGACTTGAACCAGTTGTGACCATTAACATTAAAAATTATTACCAAGAATCTTTGGTAGAAGTAAGAGACTCTCCTCCTCTCCAGAATGGTCAAGCCAGCCAGCAGTCACGAAACCTCAAGAATCCAGGTATTTAGATCAACATGTGATAATTCTGTCAAAACACTCTCCCCCACAGATAGATTATTGACTAGTCTGCTAGGATATAGGAACCCTTACAGATAAATCTTATTATATATTTATGTTGCATGTATCTGTATATCTGGCTTTTGTTAAAATTAAATGCTTATCATTTTATTTTAGTTAATTGAGTTGTCAAGTGCATTACTTCTGGAGCTCCCTCCTCTATCCCTTACTCTGTAAAGTTCCACATATGTGGCTGCTTGTATGTGTACACATGGTTCCTGTGAGCCAAAAGTCACAGTTGGTGTCAGATCCCAAGGGAGTGCTGCCATCCTGTTCACATATTTATAGGATGATGGCTGTCTACCATACAGGTGCATTCCAAATTTTCTGTCGGCCATAGTTCCATCCATATGTTGCTTCATAAAAAAATGCTCATCTCATCAACCTCTACCACCTCTTAAAATTTTTGGTACATTTAACATTAACATCCTGAGTATATACAATACTACAGTATTTCTTATATACTGTATAAGAAATTTACATTCTTATCTATTTTGTTATACATCCAGTAATAATAAAACTGCATTCAGTAATAATTCAATAATAACCAGAATAAAGAATTAGAGGAAGCTGTTATGATACAGTAGAAATAAAAAGCTAGATGATTTTTTCATGTAAATTTTTAATATATTTAAACAAATCTGATATCATTTCATGCTTTTAACAGTATATTAATCATTAAAAAAAATCTAGTTATCTTGCTATAAGAAATAGAAGATTTAATTAATTAAAATTAGAAAACAGTATTTATAAAATGAATATAATAATATATTTTATATAATTCTTACTGTATCAGCATAAACCCTAGGCTAAGTAAAGAGATTATGAAAAATTTCAACTCTAGTCAATTAGAACTTTCTTAGCATTTAAAATTTTTTTTCAAAACTTTGATTTCAAAATTTATTTCAATATATAATTTCTAAAGTTAATGAGTATGTATATATGAGGCGTATAGTTTCAAAAATGGCCAACTCCACTTTTTCTGGGTCTGGAACATATGGGCAGTGAATGAAACTTCCAATTTTCATCCTGCTTTTTATTCCTTCTTTGTTTTGTGGCTAGTTTAGAAATTTATTACAATCACCATTGAAGTGTGAAAAAATACTTAAGATTAAATACTTTACTAATTTTTTTAAAAGACAGACTTAGCTGTTTTTAAAACTATACATTTCATATATTCTTATTATTCATAGTTATTTTATCATATATTTTTTACACTTCTTCACTATTTCCAATCATTCATTAAGAGAGATATTAAAACATTTAGAATTTTTTAATTCTTTAATCTGTCTTAATTTTTAACTAAAAAGTATCTTTTTTTTTATTATTTTTTCTAAGAGATTTTTATCTTATGCTGCAAATATTCAGTGCTAATCAGAGTCAATGGATTTACAATGCAAATGAAATTGCATTGTTGTTATTGGAAGCATTAAATTTCTTTTCTATGCTTCTCATATTAACAACAATATTTTTCTATATAAAAATATTCTCAATATGAGCAAAGAAAAGAAAATGGATGGTTACTGGCTAAACTTTATGATAAACTAAACATTTTTAATGATCCAAGATTATTCTGGTTAAATTTCACAGTAAATTAATAAATATAAGATGTGATATTGTTCAAGGAGAAGTTTGGAAAGAGTTTTTCCAGCAAGAAGATGGAAATGTGGGTTTGAATTAGAATTAAATTTAGAAAATAGAGTTGAGAAGAAACTAATGAATGAGTTAGAATTTAAAAATGAACAGATAGAGGTAATTATAAATAAAATGATAATAAAAACTGCTCTTGTAACAAATAATGTCCTAGTCAGAGGTTTGAAAATGTTAACTATACTACTGTATTAGCAAATAACTATAAAAAAAAATGTAATGTTGCAGAAATACCTTCTGAGTGGAATGAAATAATATTTAGAATAATTTTTAAAAAGAGAGAGGATTAAATACCAACAATTATAGGCCAATAGTGGTATTGACAGTATTAAATAAGTTATATGGTATAGTAGTATAGTGGTTATATTTGAAAATGCTTGGCCAGTACTTCCGTATTGGTCAAGCATTTTCATAGACATTGTTTGGACAATGAATTATTATTCAATTATCAGCATGCCTTTTAAAAAACAAGGTACAGAAATGACATTACAGTAGACCCCCCTATAAGACGGGTTCCTATAATTATGATTCCTATAAAACGGTGAAAAAATTGCAACGGTATCCGTAAAAAATGGTAAAAAAAACTCCTATAATTATGCAAAACGTCATCGGGCAGCCGAACTGTTTTCCGCCATCAAGCGCCACGCTACTGAGAGATTACTATCGTCTGTACAGTATTATATATAAATTATATATAAACTAGGTACTGTACATATAATTATATATTAATTATATATAAATTAGGTACTGTATATATAATTATATATTAACTTAATTTATTGTAACTTTATTATAATTATATATATGCATATATTTTCCGCTGTCTAGCGCCACGCTACGGAGAGTTTAGGCAAACTATCGTCTGTACAGTATGTAAATTAGGTACCGTAAGTCTAATATAGTACTGTAATTTTATACATTTCGTGTGAAAGAAACATTCCTTATTCAACGCGATTAAAATTATTTATATTAATGATGTCTCCAAAGTTCAATGAAGTTTTTGCAGAAAAATAACATCAGAAATTGTGGCCGCGGTTTGCTGAGCTGTTCCACGATGAAAACAAGCTTGAGCAATGGCAATGTCGAATGGTGCACACTCGGTAAGTAATCCTACAATTTTTTGTTTATAGCGTAGTTTATACAGATTATTTCCAAAAAAAATATACATATTTTGGAAATGTTGAGTCGGATTAATCTAGAATTGATTAATTTTATGGAAGAAAACTTTTCAAACAGCCGTAGTCCGTAAAGTGCATACATGTCGGGCTGTGATTGGCAAGGACTCGTAAGAAATCGATTCATAAAGGACGGAACGTATCTACCGTCTTATAGGGGGGGTCGACTGTATTTATATTGAGAGCAGCAATTCCATAGGAACAGACCAAAATTATTTGCTCTTTTCATAGATTTGGAAAAGGCATTTGACAAAATTTCTATTCAAGCTTCATGAAATAAACTAAGAAATAAACACTTTGATAATAAATTTATTAAGCAGAGTGATAAATTAAATGGTAAGATCAACAATATGATCCTTTCTTTTTATTTAAAAGGGTTTGCTTCAGAGTGATCCTCTCTCTCC